AGGGGGAGGTGCTGATCTCCTCTCTCTGGTGACCAGTGATAGGACACGAAGAAATGGAATGAAGCTGCGTCAGGGGAAGTTCAGATTGGACATTAGGAAAAGGTTCTTCACTGAGAGGGTGGTCGGTCACTGGAACAGGCTCCCCAGGGAAGGGGTCACGGCACCAAGCCTTTCAGAGTTCAAGGAGTGTCTGGACGATGCTCTTAGTCATATGGTTTAGTTTTAGGTAGTCCTGCGAGGAGCAGGGAGTTGGACTCGATGATCCTTATGGGTCCCTTCCAACTTGAGATCTTCTATGATTCTATGATGTATTTTCTGTGTTTGCATGCCATGCGTAAATACAACCTTGTAAACTGTAAATTTAGTGAACCGTATCCGTTCCATTTTTCTTCCGGCAGAGATTTTTGTATCTAATTCTGCAAGAAGATCTGCTTAATAAAGTGTGATTTTTAGAGATATGGTTCAGGATATTTGAAAGACTAGATTATCTATGCAAGATAGAGTAACAAAAAATTATCCAGTTTTGAATCATAATTCAAAAGGTTCAACGCAGATTGTGTTTTCCGTGACTGGATGCTGGCCATTCACTTTAGCTATTTAAAAAAAAAAAAAAAAAACACATGCCATCTTATATTTATTGAGGGTTTTTAAATATTATTTAAAACATCCATTTTTATTTCTATATGTGAAAATTGTCATACCGATTGAGACCGAATGTCTCTGTAGAATAGTTTGTTGTTCTCAACTGGGGCAACTAATAAACGCTTGAGGAAGGAGCAAAAGGGAAAAGGCCTGTGTAGAGGGATTCTGCTGGTGACATCCAGAAGACAGGAGGCAGTAGTAAATGCAGGCTTCCTGCAGTTGTGCTGCCATATTTTAATTGTAATTACTTTTTGGAACCCATTTATACCTTTAGTTTCCACATCCTGTTAGAAGGAGTTCTATGGTTGTGTAGAAATTGATAATGTTCCCCAGAAAGAGATGCTGAAAAAAGTTTATTTATTGTTGTGATAGCTTTTTCCTGACAGAAGAGCAATTAGAAACTGGGTTTGCTTTTATAAATTAATTATTGCTTTCTTCGTGCTTCAAAAAGGTATAAAAGAGTAGAAAGAAAACAGATGTTACAATATTTTCTTGTCTTTTTTTTTTAATCACACACATTTCACTTGTGTGATGACCACGTTTGTACCCTAAGTTTGTTGCCTAGAAATAGTACAAAGTCTTTGGTCACATCCTGAAATGTTATTGAAGAAATTGTGCCACAGAACTGAAATCATCATGTAAGTGTATATTAAGCATCTTCTGTGTGCTTCCTTCATTTTCAAGCTATGTTCTGCTGCATGTTTTCTAGTTCTAACATGCACATTACAGTTCTCAACTGGAATCTGGTAGGGCAACTGGCACACTTTATCATGTTTCCATACTCGAGGCAAGACTGAATGGGAATCTTGAATTCAATGTTCAAAGTGTATATGTGTCATGTTAGCCTGGTGTTTTCTGTACGTGAATATGCACTGGCTGTTCTGAAAATCACACCTCGCAAGAGAAAGTACATTTAATGCAATTACATGTACGTTGTTGTTCAACTTTGAGTATAATTTAGGTTTGTGGCTGAGGTACAAGTGCTAATATTCTCAGCCTTAGTCTCTTTTCACTAACTTCCTCCTCGCTAAGGTGAGCTAACATCTGACAAAAGAGGTTTTCCCTCATTAGATCATAGAATCATAGAATCATTAAGGTTGGAAAAGACCTCTAAGATCGAGTCCAACCGTCCACCCAACACCACCATGCCCACTAAGCCATGTCCCTAAGTGCCGCCTCTACACGTCTTTTAAATACCTCCAGGGATGGTGACTCAACCACTTCCCTGGGCAGCCTCTTCCAATGTTTC